GTGAGGCGGTGGCCCAGGCGCGGGGCGTCGCAGCCGCGCAGGCTGATGCGGCTGCCCAGCGTGATGTGCGACGCGGAGAGGCCGCCGTCGAAGATGGCGTGGTGGAGCATGCCCTTGAAGTCGCCCGTGTGCGTGGCCATCTGGCGCGCGTGGTTGACAAAGTCCAGCGAGTGCGCGGGGGCCGCGGCCGCAAACTGGCAGCAGCGGCACGTGTCCGGCCCCGCGCCGCACTTGGGGCACTGGCGGAACTCGTCGACCACTTGCAGGCTGACCAGGGCTGACAACAGCTGGTGCGTGTCGATGTGGTACGGCGAGGAGGTGAGGGCGTCGCGCAGCAGGTGCGGGCGGTAGCGCATGGACGAGCGGTGGTGCTCCGTCTGCGAGCGGTGGGCCACGTACTCGATGTGGTAGCAGTCGTCGTAGTCGTACAGCATGAGCAGGACGCCGGCGTGGTCGTCGCGCACGTAGCGGAAGACGTCGTTGTGCTGCTGCACGGAGCACGGGGCAGCGGAAGGGGCGCGGGCGCGCGGGGCGTCCGAGGTCTTGACGGTGCAGGTGTAGCTCTTCTCCTCGATGCCGAAGCCCGCGCTGAGATGGCCGACGCTGTAGGCGGGGACGAAAACGACGGCGGAGTCGTAGCGCAGGCGGTACGGGGTCTTGACGATCGGGGGCTGGAAACCATGCACAGCCATGTTGCACGAGAAGGCGTGGCGACGGTAGAGCGGGGCGGTGAAGATGTACAGGTGGGTGAGGTCGTGGTTGAAGAGGAAGCGGTAGACCCAGTCCGTCTTGCATAGCGAAAGCACCGACAGCAGGTGCGGGACGATAGGCGGCAGGCGCGGGTTGGAGAACGGGATGAGGGTTGACAGGCTGCGCAGATACTCTGCCTCGTCGACCGCGCCCATGGCTGCGACGCACATTCGGAGGGTGGTGGGTGGGGGGGGGAGGGTAGGAGTGCTGGGGTGAGGCCGGGGACGCGGTGGGGAATTAAAGCACAGGTGTACCGGTAGGTGTACCAGTAGGCCAGTAGAAGTGGTGGGGTGAGGCGAGGGACGCGGTGCGGAAGAGACGGAAAGTACGGGTTCCCCCTCGAACAAGGAGGTACAGGCCCTGTATTGGGCGGCAAGGCCCAGACCCCCTCAACAGGCAGGTACAGGCCCTGTAAAGTTTATTGGGCGGCAAGGCCCAGACCCCCTCGCCTGTTCCCCCTCGAACAGGCGCGTTCTCGCAGATTTGTCCACATCACGCAAATTCTTGTGACCTCCCCGGCACGCCTCGTCACGCGCCAGCAACGCCGCATTACACCCAATCGCCATCTGCCAGGTGTCTCGAAGGCTCTCCCGTGTGAAATCTACTGTATCCTTGGGTAACGTTACCGGATACGTTAGGAATCCTAACGCATCCGGTATCCTAACTTAGGATATCTACTGTACCCTTGGTACCCTTGGGTATGCCCTTGGCGCAACAGTATGATACAGTACAGGGGGGTACCCTATTTAGTGCTACCCCGTGTAGCGTGATAAAATAGGCACTAAATCGGGTTTGGCACAAGAACGGTAACTTAACAAGAAGACTGAATATAGTATTTAACTAAGGAAACCCGTCAAGGTCGTCTGTTTCTGCTTCTTCTGTGGCTTGAGAGCCTCAAATATGATGCGTCTAGCCTTGCGCAAATGTGAAGACGCATCAGGTAGCGAGAGAGCTACCGCTGCCGCCTCTAATTTTGAGAACTCATTCGCTGCTTCGATCAAAGAGAGAGAACGAGCCTGACTAGCATTAGAAATCTCCTCCATCATGCCTATCGGAACTGTAACGGACACAGAAAATCTACCAGTTTTCATATCTTAGTACCAAGCAGAGTGGTGCCCTGTAGCCCGCTGGATGGGCCCGGGGGGCACTTGTTTATCATACCTTTTGGTGTAGAGCCGTTAGAGTAGCACTAAACCGGGACATACACTATATATAGAGGCACTAAATCGGGTACCCCCCTGTACCCTGTGATAACGATAAAGAAGAGATCTCAGTGCACCGCTTCCGTTTAACATCCTATCATACAGTATGTGCTACGGTATATACAACATTGTACACTCAAACTTTACTATACACCCCCCGCCTACACCAGCCCTGCCACCCCCTGCTGCTGCAGGCACCGCCGCAGCGACAGGTTCTCGCGCCGCAGCCGCTGCTCCTCGTCGCGCAGACGCCCCTCCAGCTGCTTCAGCCGCGCCCGCTCCCGCTTCCGCGCGTCGTTCTCCAGCTTCTTCTTCGCGTTGCTCCGCTTCGCCGCCGCCCGGTTCCGCTCCCGCTTCACGCGCAGACGCTCCGCCCGCGCCCGCGCACCCACGCGCTCCACCGCCCCGCCCACCGTCCCGCCGCCCGCCGCGAACACACCTGCCACACCACCCGCCACACCCCCGCCCCCGCCGCCCTCCCCTTCCACCACCACCGCCTCCGGCCTCTCCGCGCCCGTGCCGCCGAACCCAGCGCCCGCCACCTCGCCGCT